CGGGGGATATTCGAGTAAGATTTGTAGGGAGAATAAACTTTTCAGAATTTTCAACATTTGACAAAATGTTTACTAAACACGCAGACAAATTAGCCATTGTTAATTGTGTAATAGTAATTTTACTGATTAATATCCGGTCAACTATAAGCTTATAAATACCAGTCTTTGTTGTATACTAATCATTATGATAAAAAGATTTTAGAACATATAATTAACCGTCTATGTTCTTGCTCAAATTTATTAACTATCAGCAAACAATACTACAAAGTTAGGGGTATCTTCTGGAAATCTCTAGAAAGTAAAACTTTTATTTGATCATATAACCCTTTACTGTGCATACAAACCGTAATCGCTATAAGATGTACTTTAAGATATGAATTAATTCATTTTAATCCTATCATAGCAATTATTCAATTGACTTATCCGTACTTCACGTTGGATCACACGTCTTCACCATTGCGCGTCATTTTACTTTGCTCTATCTTCTCTTCGTTCGCTGCCATTCTCTGATTGTCTGTTCCGATCAACGAGTGCACAAAATATACGTTTTCAAAAACCAATTCTCGCATTTAACTTATTTAATTCCGTTATTCACTAACACGACTTAAGTAGATGAAAATATACGACGGTAGCCAGGATATATATTTCGACAGTAATCATTCAACAACGATCATTCGTAAGATCTAAATGGAGTCAGATATTCCAGGGCCACTAAATGTTTATCACAAAATCGATATTTTATTGAAGTAGATCAAGTAAATAAGTCAATAATTAACCAGATATCAAAATTATATCACAGCCCATCCTGCGCTCAGTGTTTACTTAGATGAAGAAACACAACAGTCTGAATAACATGTGACTTTTAATTTCAAGTTTTTCAAAAACAATAATCCGAAAAATATTTCACTTTGATGTTGAGAAATAATTCGACATTGATTATGTTATCAAACCAATATCATTTATTTCAAAAAGAACCTTATACTTAGGTATTACCCTAAATGTATAAATCAATTAGTTCAAAACAAGTCAAATCCTTTTGTTGAAATAATATTATCAAGAAAATATTGAAATAGATATGGATATATAGAAATACCAATAAACTTGAGTTATTGGGTTGCAAATCAAAGTTCTTAGCGTTTCGAGTTTGATCTCATGTGCATGCTGTAAATATGTGCTGTTAATAAATCCTAACTTTGAACAAAATCATTAAAAACTCTTCTCTTTTTTTCAACGTTTCTCCAATCGACGCTAATTTGTAATGGAAACTGTCATATAAATCTATTTCATTAATTTGAATTTCATGAATGAGTATTCATTTAAATTTTACTTTATTTTGACTTTTCAAAGGAATAAAATTTTTTTTTACCTTAGTATACTAATAGATTTTCATTAGTACATAATACTTTTAGTTTTTAGGCAAATTCATGTTTAAGTGAGCATTTATTGTTATCTGAAAATCTAGCTTGTACACTTGCTGAAATAGATTTACTTCTTATTATATACAAAGTATTTTAGTTTACTTAAATGATCCATATAAACATAGGCTCGTTTATATTGTTTATACATGTGGGAATAATATACCATAAATACCTATAGTTATAATCAATAAAATGAACATTTCAGTTACAATGTGAATTAAATACATCAATATATGATGTAATATTTCAACCTTTTTTTGAAATGTCTACTTTTAGCTACATAATAATATTTAATAATGTTTCAAACATCCAGTTAAATCCATTGTCCAAACAAACAAGAAGGATTATTTATAAATTCTGAGTTTTATACATTTCTTTTGCTTCTTACAAGTTTCATTGAAATATTTCTCAGTTAATTAAATGTCTACATGTATATAGTTCAAAGCTATATCTGATAAGATATATTACTAGTTGTATTGTTTTTCTTGACTAGAAACCTGTAAAACTATGTCTAACTGTCAAACTTCAGTGATTCTTCGATTACCTAGAAACTTTTATGTGCCTTAATAGGAAACGATCATATACACCCTGGTGAATTTAACAACCTATTGTATGTAAAATGTTTCCCTTTGATCTATGAATTTATCAAAGTTTGTAGTAGAGTTTTCATCTTAAAACTAAGGTGAATTCCATGCAAAAACCTCTACATATGAATTTAAATCATATTGCCTCTAGATCCGAAACAGAGTAGATGGTTCTACAAATGACCCTACACTAGCTACTATGTTGAGGGCATATCCCCTTTTGAATAGGTAGAGAGAAGAATGAATCATGGGACACGATAGACATCTACTTGGCTAGATATAGGACATAGCAACTCTTTTTATCTTTTATAACACTACTAGCATTTATTTGCTTGAAAAGTAACCACGAATAAACGAAAAACGGATTATTTATTTACTTCCCAGGACTGATTATGTCAAAATGAGCAAACACATAGATTTTTACATTTATACAAAGTCACTTCTATTTATGATGTTAAAACAGGTTCGCCTTAATCAATCCCAAGTTGACCTAGGTATTTTAGAAAAATATACTAATCTGAGTTATCTACTAAGGGATTGATATTTAAACTTCGAGTTAAAGTCTTAATTTTGGTTTGGGAATATAGTATAAATTGACTGTGAGAATAACTTATTAAGGTGCATAGCAAATGGTCTATTTTTACGTTATCGATATCGTAACTACATTTCGCAGCCAATAGCGGTAGTAAAAGTTTTTCCGTACTTACTTATGCCTGTTACCCCTCATGGAAGAACATAGGCCACTCAACATCATTCTCCATTCAACTCTGTCCTGGGCAAATCCATTTTGACAGAATAAAATAATTTCGGTGATATCTGTAGGAAGCGTAAATACTTTTTGACACCAACATAACTTAATTCCTAAAGCTACAAAAGTTTAAGATTTTATGTAAATACACTTTTGACAGAGACGCTTCTTGATAAGGGAATTTGTCAACTGTACAGAATGGATCAATTAAAATACAACCAAATAGACACATACTAAATAACAACTCAAATAGAGAATTTACGTCAAAGCAACCAAAGCCATTACACCAAAAGCTTTTTCTGCTCCAGTTGATCTCAATGAATTGATTATTAAACGGTTTATGAATACAATAAAAGAACAAGGTCTTATGTGCGATGTCAACGGCTTATAAAATGTAAAGAATATAAGTTGGTGAAGAATATAGTATTGACTCGTCAAATCTGCTTGGAAAGGAGAATGCATATGCAAGCGTAGTAGAATAACTTGGCTGATAGGTGAGAGATAGACAACAATTATGCATATCGTTAGCTAAGACAAGCATTACGAATTCTTTTCTTCATAGCATAGAACCACATAACTATTGCTAAAGTATCATTTTTTTAAAGGGGAATTCAACCCTACTACACACAAATATCAAACTAATAGTAGGTAGAGAATAAATCATTATTTATAGATAGTTATACCAAAAGTGGTTAGCATGAGTTATGAACTCGATAAGGATTACTGTATCCCATTTAATTTAAATTATTACTACAATTGTAAAGTCAAATTAGTAGTTATTAACAGTTAAATCATAAGTAAGAATGACAGTTACTGATAAAGGTACACTTTCGATCCATGAGAAAAAAATCTATAAGCATAAAACTACCTTGTAATCCTTCTTCTAACCTTCTTATTTTATCCATTTTATCTTCTTTTTCTATCTTCAATTTTAGAAAAGCTAGTTTTATCACTTTTGTGAATGAAGCAGTTTATTGATCAGTAGTTTTCTTTAAAAAACCATTTTATTGTTAGAACTTAATAAATTAAACAAACACTATTATCAGCAACTGTTTATCAAATATTTATCTTGCTATTTATCTATCACACATTATTAGGAACAAGGATTTAATGCATGTATATATGTTGTTTACATTTAAAGGGGTTTTATTATTTTCACATAAGATACATAATAAAAATTTAAGCTGAGTCATGAACTAAACTATTAAAAAAAGGACTGATAGTTGATCACCTTTCATCTATTAATAAATTACATGCTTTATTATAAGGACGATAGAATTTCAAATATACCATAGTCATAACTTATCTATGCCTGGTTTGATCATGAAATATAGTTGGACTATCTGCTACTTACCATACCAATCTTAAATGTACAGTTTTCTTTTCCCTTAATAATTCCCCACTCTTTGAGTTTTCGGTATTTTTGCAGTGATTGAAGATTGTTTCATCTTTATTGGTTTGTCTAAGTTTTAATATTCAATTTTTGGTTATATAAAGACATTATATGCAATTGGTTCCCTTTATGAATTTAAATAGAGCAAGAACAAACATTGATGCAGAATAGTATGAATTCATATTATTTCGAGGTTTCTCGTCAGCTGCTTACAAACCAAAATTGTTTTCACACTATCTCTATGTAACACAAATTCTATCACAATTTTGGTTTGTAAGCAGCTGACGAGAAACCTCGAAATAATATGAATTCATACTATTCTGCATCAATGTTTGTTCTTGCTCTATTTAAAGACATTATAGACTTATTCATAAACATTGGTTAAATCGATAATTCCAATGAATCCTCCAACAACTTTTAATTAATATGAGAAGGGGTTTTGTGGATATTATAGTCATTTCAATGGTTGAGATCATGAATCGATTGAAGCTAGACCACCATAGAAGACGCGGAAGCACTGGACGGCCGTTTCGTCGTATTTTGTGACTCCTCGGCAGTGCCCATCCATGATCTCACCCAGGACCAATCATTCTCGCGCGCGAGCGCCTAACCACTAGATCACTGAACCGGCCGGCACCCAACGGTGTTAATGTCTAACTCCAACTAATCCACGAAATTGAGCGACACATCCACCATTGTCTTCAGTGAGTTACTATCTCACTGATGACAATGGTGGATGTGTCGCTCAATTTCGTGGATTAGTTGAACTTTAATTAATTAGAAGACCACAGAAGAAGATAAGAGGTTCCATATTTCAAATGTTCCTCAATTAAAATCATTTTAAGTTAGCACTTGAACACTTATGTAAAAAAGTTATGCAATCAACAGTTGTTCGATTGTATGGTACTTAGGAAATTAATTAGAACTGAAGTCATATTAAAATTTTGAACTTTTTTATTCTGTAAAATAACCGAAATATAAAGTTCACTGAAATACTTACTTCAGATACCCATAAACGTCCTTGATTTTTATTAAATCGAAATCCCCAAGGTTGAAAACGACCTAGACGTAATAATCTAAGATCGAATTCTTTTTCATTAAGAATTTGACTTGCAAAACGATATAAATGCATTCAAAGAAGTTCTCTCTCTTTATATATATATTTGATATATGAATAAGTGTGAAGATAGTGTTTAAAGAAATATTATCAACTGTGAAATAAATCCGACCAATATCTTAACAAATGATAATTATTACAGTTCACAATATACTTGATGAATCTTTAATGATAGAAATATTCATATAGATCTGTCATCATTTAAGATAGAAATTTGATCATTTCAATCAGTTTATATATCATTTTGTTTGTTTCTTTTTATTACTAAAGTCAATGTTTATTTACTTAGTTTTAAATAAAAATCTTTTGAATCCATCTTTTACTTTTTTTCATAATATTTTAGTGCATAATCTTGATTTGTCAAGTATTTAACCAATAGATTAGACAGAAAAGTATCACGTGTATTTATAGTTTATACAATATTTGAATTCCCTTTAATAAAATATTTATTTATATTCAATGGCTTCAATAGTTGAACAAATGACTATATTTGTTTCTGTTAGTTAATTTAAAATTACATTTTATAATATTAGATAATCATTTACAATGTTTGTTCTACTTAGTTATTCATTAATATTTTGTAAACATGTATGTTCCTTTGACAAGTAGTTCAATGTAATCAATGATGAGACTATAATTTATGGATGACCTTTGAGCGACGCTAGATTGACCTTGGGACTATCCACTTAATAACTAAGACTGAATGAGGATTATAATCCTTCGTAAAGAATACGAACTTTGATTAACAGTTGACGGTTAAGGTTGGTGATTATATTTAGGGTTTTCATTACGAACTCAAATCAGCTATAATATCAAAATGGTATTTAAACAAATGAATGGATGAATTTTGCGCCGAAATCTGAGACCTGTTATCTTTTATCTGATTGATTCGTCCATAAATTATAATATCGTCTAATCAATAATTATTGTCTGAAATTACAATTATAATAGTACATTCATCTTTTCAAGAAAATGAAATTAGAATCACATTCCAGATAGGACAGATTTTACAGACAATAGCCACGCTGTACTACACACATATCAATTTAAAATGTTTTTTTAAATATTTTATGACATCCGATGCATGTTTCATATTGATGTTAGATATTTTTAGTTCTTATTTCAACATTTTTTAAAGTTGTCATTTATAATGCCTAGCATAAATAAATAATTGTATCGAATAAACGCTGACGATCTATTCGGTGGTTTCGATTTAGGTGTTCTGATTCTTGTAATAACTTTTGAAATATCAAATGAAATGTATCGCTCAGTTCTGAAATCACAGATATGATCTTTAAACATGTTATTGACTACTCAAATGCAAACAGTAATTAATATAAAGTAATGAAAAACTAGGTGTTAGACAGAGAAACTGTACGGAGAAACAGCAATGTGTTTTCATAATTTTTCCCGAATGCGAACTGAAGACTATGAAGGATCGCGATAAACACCTAAACACTAAAACCACGAGAGTAACATCCAGTGGTAAATATTTCCAACTCCGATCAATTCGTGATGACTTCCCCCTCTGACATTTCACCAGAACTTACATCCTAGTCAGTATTTAAGTAAGCTGAGGATTATAGTCTATATATGGGGGTTATGTGGACGACCCGATTCCAAAACCTTTAACTCGAACACGTTAGTTAATCCAGTAAAATATAATCAGCACAAACGCTCTTGAAACTAAGGTTATTACAATTTTGAGAACAACATGCAAATGAGATAACGAGTTAACTGCAACGGTTTAACTATCACATTTCTGGAACATATTCCCAAAAAGTAACAGTTCAAGCAAGATATCCATATCCTTTACATAATGTGTTCGACAAAAGATACGCTAGTATTGATCTCTATGAATAGGTATCAGGTACCCATAATAAGGTCGTCGCTTACATACTTCTAAACATGTTTCTATCAATTTATCCATCAAACAATTTTACGAACATTCTCCTTTTTTTAAACTTGCCCAACAATGTTTAAAAATTTTGTTTAATTTACCTTTTAAAATTTTAAATTCTTGTAATGCACTTTGATGTTTCATTTCTAAAGATACAACATAAATGCACCAGCATTTGAGTACCGTAAATCCTTTTAACAATTAACCTAATTTAATTTTTGGCAGCGACTTAGTTCTGGTTATTTCTACACCTTGTTAGCTTTAGTCGTCTTGCTGAAACGAGCCTTATGTAATTTTTATCTAACTGTTTCATTTACTGCTAAAATCTTGCTACTGAAACATCCTCATCTAAATTCAAAGTATTTAACTACAATTTTGAACAAAAGAATCTACTTAATACATTACAATGTCATTTGTTACCAGTTTTTATAAGTAAATAATCTACTTATTCCAATTTGATTTCTCCTCTTAGAGCGAAGGAACTTACAGATCTCTATTATTTCAATGTGGTCAATGGTAGATGTCTCAGGTGAATATACGTTATTTTCATGTTCATTTTACATCCTTTTTCTTATTCATCTATTTAAAAGGCATACTTTCTTTTTAATCATCCTTTTGAATAGAAAAATAACATCCAGATAATTTACGTCATGAGCTTTGTGAATTTTATGAGTATTTTAGTCTCTTATTACTGTATTGTCTTTTTGAACAAATTTCATCTTTTTGGGTTTAGCTGGTTTGTTACATCCAATGAATCAACTGTTATGTTCTATAGAAAATTATAATTTAGGCGGTTATAACATCATAGTTGGAGATTTAAGTTTTAGTGTACTGAGTGTATGAACAATTGTTGGACAATGCTTTCCTCAATATCACATCGTAAATCAGAAATGTTCTGGTAGACATTTTCTATCGGTTTGATTTACAAGCTTTACATTAAACTTTTAGACTAAAAACGTATAGATTACACGTTAGCAATAAAATCACTTTACAATACTCATATGTATATTGTTTTTACCAAGAATAATTATACATGATAATATTCTCAATTCGAAAGAAATGAGAAGACAGAAGATAGCGTGTGTTTTTCGAAGCAGGCATACATGAAAATTATGCTGTATGTATATTATTTATGTTTGCCATGCTTTCTGAATGGTTTTCCAGGTTTAGAAGTCCTACTCTTATTCTTTTTATTATTATTACTATTCATGCGGCTTTTCTCCTTTGTGTTAGAAATATTTCTACGTTTTCTCTGCTTGTTAATGCTAGTTGACATGTGATCATTTTCATTTGTTTGCTCTCCAGGAACAGTTGACATTGCATTCATAACTTCTGAGATTTCTTGCTTTTTAGAGGCAGGTGCTTCAGATGCCCAAGATGTTCGTTTTAAACCAGGCTTAGCAGCTATTTCATTGATATTGGGTGTAGGCAAATCATCAACAGCTGTAAATATGGTAACACCTTTAGATTTTACACGTTTTCGCATTGACTCCACTGCCTGCATTCAACAAACAAATAAACGAATGAATAAATGTATGATGGATAAGTTAATAATTATTTTATGAAATTAATATTAGTTTGCATAATAACTATAAACTAACCTGATTCGCTCTAAGAGATGCTTCTTTTACTCCCATATTTAACTCTTCAATAGCTTTTTCTAACTGTTTATCTACTGAACTATTTGGTTCAACTAATGCAGGAATTCTTTCATGACCAAGACCACCAGCAGATATCAAGTGCGATTCGATTTCCTTCAAGAAGAACGTAACGGAGTATTGGGTAAGCAATGTTAAAGCACAACCAAGGCGACCAGCTCGAGCAGTTCGTCCAACTCGATGCATGTAAATTTTTGCATCTAAGGGCACATCGTAATTCACCACTAACCCTACTTGTGGGATATCTAAACCACTGGGTAAGAAAGAGAAATGCATCAACTTTTCAAGATGGGAATTCATTTATAATAGCAAGTGCAAATAACAGAACAAGCTATTAAAGCTTAAGAACCCTTCAACATCTAATAGATCACTAAACTAATTATTTTAAGATGTCTAGTCATAATTGGGAGAATCGCCATAATAAATAAACGATAACAAGGCTATATACTATGAAAAGATGTTCGCGATAGCTTTCTTAATCATGACTGAATAAAGTGTAGTTTAGTGTATTCTGCTTGACCCTGGTTGTCCAAAAGGATGGGTTTTTTGAACCTGCAAGACAAGAGTTGAAATTTAGATGATTTAACTGCCTAAGCTATTGCAGCAGTCTGTAGTATTAAAAAACTAATTCACATGTTTAACCAACTAACTAAATACTAAAGAAGAGTATGTGTAAGTAAAAGAGAGTAAGTAATATCAGCTAATAAAATTATGTTTAACACTATTAGTAGAACAGCTATATATTTCTTTTAATAAAGAACTAATCAAGGGCAAGAGGCTTTACGTCGTAATAGGGATCCAAAACTGTATGTGACTGTAACAAATTAAGTTGTAGATGGTGAGCATCGGTCAGTTGAATCAGAAATCGATCATATTACAACACAACTTGACTAAAGTTGAGAAATGGTAGCTTTCATTAATCAAGTCCGCTAGTGACAATATCCTTAACAAAAAATACGAAAGTGCTGAGTACGATGAAGCTGTTAAATAAAATGAGCTATATTGGGAATTTGTTAATAGTCTAAGTTTACAATAGCTTTTAATCGATTTTAATTCAAACTGATAATTTACAAACAATAATTTATGCTTCACAGTATACACTAACTTGAACATAAATGATGTAGATAAGACAACTGTAGTTATGCAATGTTAAATTATATGATGAGTAGTAATTTGAACTGACAGATGGAAAAATAGGTGTAAAATTGCTAGGTTTGAAGCGGTTACGAGTTCACTTAGACTGCAAATGGAACAAAGACTCGATGACAAAAGACCAATAAGCCAGCTATCCGATGCGTCCCAGATCCGCTAACTAGAGGAAGAAGTCAAAGCTTGGAATGGGGAAGTATATTCCGAAAACATCCAGAAAACGAGCGATAACAACAAACACAAATCAAAACGTATATATACAGCACAAAACCATCCTTGAGGAGAGTTACAAAATAGCATACTAAAGA